CTAGCATGTAAAACAGACACCCTATACTTACTTGAAGCCCTGGCAGAAAGAGGGCACAAAGCCTCCCCTTCCAAATTGCAATATTTAGAACAAGAAATAACATATCTGGGCTACATTATTGCACCAGGAATTAGAAGACTGGCCCCTAACCGGGTAGAAACCATTTTAGCCATGAAACCACCCCAGACAAAACGACAGGTCAGAGCCTTGCTGGGAGTACTGGGCTTCTGCCGCCCATGGATCCCCTCGTTTGGAGAATTAGCCCGACCTCTCATTCAACTAACAGGCAAAAACATGCCTGACCCCATTGAATGGTCCAAACCTTTGGACAAAACACTTCAGACCATAAAACAAACCCTGGCATCAGCCCCAGCACTCGGGATACCTGACTATAGGAAACCTTTTACCTTATTCATCCATGAAAAATTAGGTGTTGCTTCCGGCATTCTGACACAACCTTTTGGACACACACATCGACCAGTCACTTACTATTCTGTAACCCTAGATCCAGTAGCTCAAGAGACTGTCCCCTGCTTAAGAGCCGTGGCGGCTACAGTCAAACTGGTGAAACGATCTAAGGATTTAGTACTAGGACATCCACTATTGCTAAAAGTCCCCCATGAAGTTTTTGAGATTCTCTTAAAGAGCCAGACACAAGCCTTTACTCAGCAGCGTTTGGCTCAATATGAAGCTGAACTTTTTACCTCTGATCACATTACCTTTGAGAGATGTAATACTCTAAACCCAGCTACCCTGCTCCCCACAGAACAGGAGGAAGGTAATCTCCATGATTGCCTCCATTTAGTGCATGACGCTGAACTACCCTGCTCCGATTTAACAGATACCCCGCTACAAAACCCCGACACTGAACTTTTCACAGATGGTTCCTCCTACATGCACGAGAACAAAAGAGTAACGGAGCAGCTGTAGTCTCTCTACAGGAAATCATCTGGGCCTCCCCCCTTCCTCCCTCCCACAGCGCCCAAGCAGCTGAGCTTATAGCTTTAATGAAAGCTTGCGCACCGGAGCTCTCCCAGCGGGAAAATCGAATCCTCAGAAGAAAGGCATTTTAACACCTTTCAACACATACACAGTATATTTACAAGGAACTTTATGTTAGTGGATAAATTAAGCTGGAGTCTCTCTCTCTCCCCCTCCTCCAATTTGCTTTTGTTTTTTTATTGCTTGGGTTTAACCAGTAAATAAACAGCATTCAAACGCTGCAGTCCCATTACCCCATGCAATGCACTAGAAAATGTCATCAGAAAATTACCCATAGATAGAATAGAATGAGCTGGAAGGGACTTTGGAGGTCTTGTACTCCAGTCCCCTGCTCTAGCAGGAGAACCTATACCATTTCAGTTAACTATCTAGAACCTTCTTAAAAAACTCCAGAAATGGAGCGTCCATGATTTCTGGTGGCAAGCTGTTCCACTGGTTAATTGTCCTCACTGTTAGGAAGTTTCTCCTTAATTCAAGGTTGCTTCTCTCCTTGATTAGTTTCCAACTATTGTTTTTTTGTCCTGCCTTCTGTGGTGCTTTGTAGAATAATTTGACCCCCTCTTCTTTGTGGCAAACCCTCAAATCCTGGAATACTGCTATCATGTTGCCCCTAATTCTTCCTTTCTTTAGAGTAGCCAAACCTAAATCCTGCAGCAGTTCTTCGTAAGCTTTAGTCTGCAGGCCTTCTTTGATCATCTTAGTTGCTCTTTTCTGAACTTTTTCCAAGGTCTCTCTCAACATCTTTTTTGTAGTATGGTGACCAAAATTGGTTGCAGTAAAATGTACAACTATGCAACAGGAGTATAAACCATCTTTGCTGGAATTTAAATCCCACCGAGCTAATCCAAACACCTTCCTAGCAAATATGCTTTAAGGCCTCCCACCTTTAAAACACCACTGGGGACGGCACCTCTTCCCTCCGCCCGCGGAAAGAAGGCAGGAAAACGCGCGATCCTTTGCTTTTTGACCCGCGCGGCTTTCCGTCGACGAGGCCTCGGTAAGTTCCAGCCCACTGGAGCTTTGGCTTAAAAGGAAACCCGTCAGTCGGCCTGTTGGAGTTAATGAGGAGGAAGCAAGATGGCGTCCACCAGCCGGTCAGTCGGGGAAGGCGTCTCCGCTGGGGAAGGTTCTGGTTTGGGAGCCTTGACATCGGGTTTTAAAGGGTGGGCGGGAGAACGAAGGGTGTTTGGGGAGACCGGGAGGAGCCGCGGCTACGGCTGCAGCTCCTCTTAGGCTTCGACCTCCCTCCCTTGACCTGCGGAGGAGCATCTTCCCTTTATGGCCTTCCGAGCTACTTTTCGCCCCGCGGCTCGTCTTTTCTCGCCTTCTGCTCCCCCTCCCCGCCCTTTCTCTTTCCCTTTCCTTACGCTTTGGGCCCCCCCCCCCCCACTGCTCAATAGGCTCCCCGTTTTCCGAGCCTCTCTCGCCTCCCCCCCCGTTCCCCGCTTCTCGTCGCCTCCCTGCCGCCCTTGCTGAGGCGCTCCCCTCGCATTAAGCAGCCCCGTCGCTGGGACCGAATCGGTCGTCGCCCCGACGGAGCAGAAAGGAATACCTTTCTTTAAAAAAAGAAAGCCTTTTTATATATATATATACAAAATCGCTCATGTGATAAATGGGACCCGCATGACTTCCCAGGAATAATGTTTGTGTTTGGGGAAACGTGGCGAGAAATAACGCGTGCCGTTTTTCGTAAGGGGGTGTTTATTGGCAATTCATCCAGGTATTTGATATTTTGAGGTGACCCAACTGTCCAACTTGTGCGGGGGGAGGGGGAGGGAAAACCCTTTATCTCTCCCAAAGGGTTATTTTTATTTATACATTGTCAAACTCAATCCAGTTTTTTTCCTGGGCAAACAGTTTCCCCCCCCCAAAAAAGTACCAAATTAAGTAGAGGAGCAAATCTGGAGCTACTTTTGCCAGTGCCTCGTTTGCTTGTGTGAAGCCAAGTCTGGTTTAGAGAAAAGTGCTTCCTTTGACAGGTCTTCATGACCTTTGGGGGACCCCAAATTAGAGGTTTGAGAAACCTTTAATCCGTGTTTCTTCAAGTGTGGTTATATTATTCCTGGGGGGGTCCCATTAGGAGCTACCAAAATCAAAATTCTTTCTCAGCCTGTGTGGGAAAATAATACCATATTAAAACACCTGCAAAACAATTGTTAGTGGCAAATGAATCACATTTAGTAATGTAGCAAAAATAAATATGATTCATATAAACAAAGGGCAAATGCTCTTTGGTGGTTCTCCCTGCTTTTTAAAAGTGGGAAGGGGTCCTGAGAGAGAGAAAAAAGGTTTAAGAAATGCAGACCTAAATTATAGGAACAGGTTTCTCTGACAGTTGTAAAAATTTAATGCTGGAAAAAATTCATCTCTAAAACAACAGGAGGCTTGCTTTAAACACCTGCAGATATAATATAAATTTCATTGCCATTTGCTAATGTTGCTTTTATATGTAGAAAAAGTGTTTTATGGTAGACATTTGCCAATGCATCACAGGAATATTTGACTTTGAGTTATTAATTGTGAATCTTAGCCAGCTTTATGTTTTTTAACTGTCTGATTGTATAGTATGTTTGGTTTCAAGTTAATTGATAGGTTAATAAAAGCCAGTTTGTTCTAGTCCCATTTTCTAATCCTATTTTAGCCATGAAAGCTGGCTATGTGACTTTAGGTCAATCACTTTCCCTTAGCCCAGTCCACTTCACAAGTTTGTTTTTGTGGGGAAAATAGGAGAAAGGAGTATTTACTGCTTTGAATTATTTATAAAAACTGTAAAGGTTGGATAAAATAAAAATGTTATTTTCATTTTCTAAAAAATATCAGTCCTACCCAATAATTGCTAATCTGTCTTTTGAATTGCAGGTTGTCTCTAAAACCTAGATTAAATTAAAGTCATAAGTTTAATTTAATTAAACTAAATGAATGAAAGTTTTTGTTTTTACTTGGATGAAAAAAGACTCAATTAAGCAGCAGTTTTAGAAGTATCTTCTCCTGTATTGTATGTTGTATTTGGTTTTCATTAATTAATAAATGTGTAGAGTTGTTGAAAAAGTTTGGTACAAGGAAAAGGAAGTGAACTGTTGATCAATACTTTTATATTCTTCTAAACAGAAGAAGAGTGATATAGCTTAGTAATAAGAATTTTTTTTAAAAAAAAACTTGCTAGCTCTTGCTACTGCTCTGAAAAAATCCTAGCAGTCAACTATCAATAGTGCTTGAAGTATATGCTCCAATAGATTAATTCTTTTTATATAAAGATGTTCTGTATTCATAGATTAACTACTGTATTTCTAAAGCAGTAGCAGTGAACATATAATACAGCTTAACAGCACCAAGGTATAAAAAAAGCAGATTAAGACTGGTAGCAAGGAAATGTATAGCAACAAAACTAAAACTCACAATATGAGTCAATACTGGTAGAAGACACAGGTAAGGAGAATTACTGAATTTAATTAGAGGAATATTTTAGAGTAATGGAACAGTAACTAAGAGGTTCTGTCTCTCACATTTTTCTACATGTTTTATAATCAGATTTACCTTCAGGAATGATAACATTGAAACAAATGGTTCTTTTTTTTTGTAAATTTTATTGGTTTTTAAAAAACAAACAAACAAAACATAAAAACATAAAACATCTTTTTTGAAAGCAGCATAATCCCAGGTTACATCTCTTCGTACAGACACAAATTCAAGTTCATGCTCATTTTTATATTCCATTCCATATCTTATTACTATTCTACATTTTCTATATAGCTTCTCCCCACTTTTAACTTTCTTAATTTCATTTTATTTATTTCATCTCAATTCAAATCATTATACTTATATTCTTTGTCCTGTTTCAACTGTCTACTATCTTTTCTCATTAAACAAAGTTTCTCCTGTAATCACTGATTGGAGTATGATGCCTTTATATCTTTCCCCTAAAATTATAACACTTATATAATACATAACTTCCATTCGGATTCTGCTTGGTACATTCTGAAACTACCCACTATATTCTTAAAAAAAGAAAAAATTATAAATGTATATAATTAAAACAACAATCCATTCCAATTCAATTCTATCATTAATATTAATATTCATTTAAATCTTAACATTTTGCACATTACTTTTCAAATAAATATCATACTTCTATGGGAACATTTATAAACTTTCCATAGTTAATTCCCCCCCCCTTCACTTATATTTTATAAAACATTGACTAATTAAAATGGTCCCGTTCCTTCCTAATTCAATTTTCTCATTTATTTTATTTCATTTATTTTATTCACAAACATTTCACTAAAGCACACTAACTATTTTATCCCTCTTATTAATCATATGTTGTTTCCAATTTTCTGACATTATTTCTATTACAAATATAACAATACAATCTTATGTACCTTCACAGAATCCCTTTTTCAGTTAGATTTTCACCCATTATCTCTAAATAGGTCCTGTTTCTTTACATCTTGCTCCAAACCTTTGTAACTTCTCTTCCTTTCCTTCTTCCCTCTCTTCTTCTATCTCCCCTTTTTACCCCCCTGTCTCTCCACCTCCATTTCCCTCTTCTGTATTCCCCTTTTCTGTTGCTTTTCAACATTATATCCATTTTTCAAATTATTTTTCCCTTCTTTGGCTGTTCTTTTAGGTCTTAAATTCTCCATTCTCTTTCCCCCCTTTCCCCTTTCTTCCCCACATAGAGTTACTTGTTCATTAAATATGGCTTCTTCTTTGTCCCAGTCTTCTTGTTTTGCTTGTTGTTTCTCGTAGTTGCAGATCTCCATTTGTAGGAATTGAAAAACGAAGCCAAAAGAGCCCTTCCCTTCTTGTAAATCTTCTTTATATTTTTTAAGTTCCATTTTCAATTCATCCAGGAGTGATGCCATTGTAAAAAAATTTTAAGCAACCACCCGATTGTTTTTAGTCATTCAAATATAATAACCAAAAATCCAAAAGTCACCAAGCAATCCAAATACACACAAGCTGTTTCTGTTTACTCTTTCTTCTTTTTTCACTTTCTCTTCCTGGAGTTACTATTTAGTTGCAAAGTTCCAGTTAAAATGTATCTTTTAGAAGACTTATGGAGATTTTACTTTAAATTCTTTTGAAGTCCAGGCAGTCTCCTCCCTCCAGATCCTGCCCTTATTCTTTTCCTCTGCCTTCCTGCTTATAGAAAAAAAAAGTTTTTAATGTCCAGAAATCTTTATTGTCCCTTTGGCATTTAATTATATTCAGCTTAATTGCCTATTGATGCCAAAGTGGATTTTTCCGACTTCTTATTCAGATCTTTTTTTTTTTCTTCTCTCTCCTTCCTTACAGAAACTAATGGTTCTTAATGTGTGGTCCATTTAAAGGTTTAAATTCAGCCTGACAATAAATATGAAGCTACTATACAGGGCATAAGCTAATATAAGATGTTACTTATATTCCCCAGTGTTTTCCAACCCAGTGGTCTCCAAATGAATGGGGAAAACAGCTGCTTGCATTAGAATTAAACGGATTTAAAAGTTTGGCATGCATGGTTAGGGCCATGGACACAAAATTGTTGTGTTCCTTTCCATGTACATTCATGAGTATGCATAACTGTTTGTAATTTCAAATCTTTTATAGGAGGTGTATGTTTTCCAAGATGACACAACTTTGGGGTTGTGGTTGAAGTTCAAATTAAATTTTAAGTTAGTAGGCTCACTAGGATCATGGGGGAAATGTTTCAATAAATTGTCACATAAAAAACGTTGAATAACTCCCTTGTTGTTCAAGGGAGGAATCAGTTAAAGGTATAATATATTTGTTGAAGAATACTATGGTTTATCTTCAAAATGTTTCCAGGGAGGAGTACTGACAGTTTTGTGGTTACTTCCAATTCTGTTATTTTGGTCAAGCACTTTTGAATTTCACATCTATAAAATTCATTGTTAGGCAACAGCTGTGTTTTTTCTTAGCATCTTGACTATGAAGATGGTAGTTTCAGCAATTTGCTTAGATTAGTAATGTGAAAGATTATTTTGTATGTGCTATTTACTAATTTACTCTTGCTGATGATATCTCCAAAAGCCAGAGGCCCAATGAAGCTACCTCTTATTTTCAGTCCCCCTTTCCTGCCAAAAGATTAAATTGGGTTTTAGGTTTTATTTATTTGCACAATTTCCAAAATGCACACAACGGTAGAATTAAAAGTATATTTTTCTACATTTTTAACTTGGTTTTTGAATATTATTTCCAGTTTCCTAATATTGTGGATGGCATTTATGCATAAAGGAAAACATGGTTTTGAATTTAGATACCAATAAAGTTAACAAAAATTACATACTGAACGTAATTTTCTTTGATATGATTTTAGTAGGATGAATAAAAGCATTTTTTTAAAAAAAATAAGGCAATCTGAAGTTGGTGTTGTAGTAGCTTTCTTATTTGAAAGCATCAGGGGAGCCAGGAGACCTTTTTATGTATTGGTAGCATTTCATCTTGTAATTGGATTCTGCTTTTCTTTAGATTTTCTTAATGGCAAAAAGATTAAAGGAGAGAAATTGGACACTGTGAATGAATATGCAGTTTATTGAATAAGTTTGAACCCTCCAGAATTCTTGCTACTTACTACATGCAAGAGTAACGAATACTGTGTTCATATTGTTTGTCTCATGGACTTATTGCAAAGAACTTACACAAGGATTAAATTTTAGAACCACTAATATATGACAAAAGGCTATTCTTTTCTTTAATACCTTTAGCCAAAATCATTGTTGCAATATAAAGCATTAATGTAGAATAGCTCTTATATTAAAGTGAAGTGATCTGATTTCCATTTTACTCATATAAAATACAGCTTACTCAGGTTAAATAATCATTGTACTCCTGTTCATTCAATTTGATGCAATTGGTTTTGAAAAAGAGGCTACAGTGCTGCATGTAGGATTATTTTAAGGTTGTTGATGGTAGTTCTAGATAAATGCAAGTGATCCTTGACTTATGACTACAATTGACCATAAATGTTAATGCTAACTGATGTGGTTAAGTGAATCATATTCAATTTTATGACCTTTTTGCTATAATCTTTATGTGAATCCAGGTTCCCACAATAACTTTGTTCTCAGAAGCCCTTTGAGAAAATTGTAACTTTGTAACTCTTGTAAATACATGCTGGTTGGGAAGCATCTAAGTTTGATCACATGACCATAGGGATGCAACAGTTGTAAATACAAGGATCAGTTGTACATTACTTTTTTTCAGTACCACTGTAACTTTGAACCCTTGCTGAACAAATGGCTGTAAGTCAAGGACCACCTATAATTGCAGTAATGTCTGTTGAATGAAAGAAAAACAGGGTACACTTTGGATATTTATCCAGTATGATAAACTCATATTTTTGAGTAGTGCTTCCACTTCCAATACTATTGGGTAGAAAATGGAGTGTTTAAAAAAAACACCACCAACAAACTACTTTTTATTAGTTTGATTAGTTTAGCTATAAATGAGTCTCTAATTTTGCATAATTTCTATTTCCCATTCAGGGCTATATGTGACTTTTAGTTAAATTAAATACTTATTTCATATTTCATAATGTTAAAGGACTGTATAAACCATCTTAGTTTATGTAGCTCCATAGTATTGAACCAGATCATCCACCCTTTCCCTGCCCTGCTTCCTATTTTGGTAATAGCAACTCCATGAAGCCAGCTAGCATGGCTGGTGATAATGGATGGCAACAGTAGTCTTGACAAATCTGAAAAATACCAGCTGGGAAAGGTTGCTTTATATAATACTTTAGCAAATGATGTCAGTCATAGTTGTGAATTTCATTTAAAATTAATTTTCCCAAAGGACTAGAAATGAATGATTTAGAAATTAAGTAAAATATGGTGCTATTTATTGTAAATGGTCATATAAAATTTAATTTTATATTTTTTAAAGCTTGGACGTTCTGCCTAGAGTGACATGTCCAAACCACCCAGATTCCATTTTAGTAGAAGATTATAGAGCTGGAGACATGATTTGTCCCGAATGTGGACTTGTAGTAGGTGAGTAATATATAATATATATGTAATTCTTCTGTTTTTTATATTCTTAATGTTTAATAATTTTCTCAAAAGTCTAAAATGATAAAGTATATTTATTATTAATCACTGCACTTTTCAAACAGTTCTGAGTAAACTTCCTCACTCAGCAATTAATAGATGAGTTGCCTGCAAATGTTTATGCAAGTGATTTATGTTACTAAGTACTCAAAGAATACTAAAAGAGCAGTTTTAAAAATTGTGTTCTTTGTCATTGCTGTCTCTTGCATTAAATTGCTTGAGAACTTGCCAACTTGTGGCAACAAAAACATATACTTAGCCTTACCTTTAATGTAAATCTTATAGGATTCATCTCTACATTAGCTTTTTCCCCCCTTGCAGAAAAACAATTGTAGAATTTTCTGAATTGTAGATTTTTCTAATACTCCTGAGCAGCTTTTTTGAGTTGCTAGGACCATAAGAATTCTACATCTCTGATATAGAATTTGTATGATGGCGTTTAACATGGAAACTATTTTTGACATTGATTTGTAATTCTAATAGGGCAAGCAAGGCTCTAAATCACAATTAAGCTTAAGCTTTCAGTATAAAGCAGTGCTTTCTCAACTATGCTGGTTTCTAGCCATCTTCACAGATAAGCCAAAGAGGTGGTTTTAAATTTTGAACCCTTGGTGCTGGCAGGATTATTAGAAGGTTCTCTTTTGCCTATGGTTGAGGTTTGCATTCATGACCATTTAAATCAATAATTGAATCAGACTGCTGCAAGCAGGGCCTTTTGAATGATAACTTGTAGAGATTTCAAAGGTCACAGTTCCCTTCTTTTGGACACCTTCAATTGTTTCTGGAATGCTTAGATATAGAAAAATACTGAACCCTTGAATTGTCCCTATTATCTAAAGAATTCCATTCCTGAAATTATTAAATTGTGTACATTTGTAGTATCAGTTCAGTTGTAGAATTTCTTCTTTAGGAAGGATTGTTTCCCATTATGTACTCTTGTTGGTGAATTCTCCCCTTTCTAAGGATTTTCTGGGATTTAAGTGGTTTAAATAAAACGAATTTGGAATTTTTAGGGACTTGGGGTTCTAGCTTGAATGTTTGCTTCTGCATTTTATTGTTTTATCTCTGCAGTGTGGCATATTATATTGTAATTTTGTTTTTATTGTATATTAAATGTTAGATAGTCTTCTGTTCGTTCACAATTTATAGAGACAAGTCCAGATTGATTATAAACTTCTGGAGAAGTAAATAATATCAGATAGTAACATCTTAGTAGCCAGTGGGTTAAAGAGATTGCATGTAGTGTAGATCAGAGGTCCTCAACTGCCGGTCTATGGCCTGGTGCCAGGCTGCAGCCTGCTTAGAATTGGGCTGTGGCCCAGCGCACATGTGCACGAAGTTGCATTTGTGAAAGCAGTGCATACATGAAATCATCCCCTCTTCCTTGCCACATTTTTGCTGCCATCTCAGCCTGTCCGCCGAGCAGGAAAGGTTAAAGACCGCTGGTGCAGACGGCTTCTAAAGGCATTTTTAAATGGAGGCTTCAAAAATGTAAATTCAGCTCTTAGGGGTATTGTACAAAATGAATGTAATGGCTTTAATCAGGTAAAATAATTGGTTAGGGAAAACTGATTTAAGCTAAATTACGTTGCAAAACTTCTACAGAGAAATGTAATAAAATTTGTATAATAGAAATAGATAGGAATAGGGATTTGCAAAACTTGTAAAGCCAGGAATCCTGCATTTCATCTGGAGCAATTCAGACTGCATCTGATTCAGGATTTATTTCTATAAATTGACAACATGACCCTGAAATGATTTGGTTCAACATGTAGTAGAGAAAATAGACATGTATTCATAAAATGAGAAGACTTGACATTTCCTGTTGAAGATAACATATCAATTTTAAGGAAATACTCTGAAGTTTAATAATTGCTGTGTAAAAAGACCTATAAGTTCTCAACTCAACCATAATTGATCATGGCTACAGGTCATGTGTGTCTTTAAGCAGGTCATCATATGACTGTGCCTGGTTTTATAACCTGTTTTGTGGCAGCCATTAAGTGAATACAAGCAGTTATTAAATAAATACCATGTCCACTAATTATAACAGTTATTAAGGGAACCCAGTGTATCCAATGGGCATTTTTTTGTCTGTAACCAGGAGAATGTACATGTGACTGCAGGATGCTGCAACTTGATGTAAATACAGGTCAATTTTCAAGCACCCAGAATGTGTGTGACTGTCAGAACTTCAAAACTGGATTGTAGATGGCTCTGGAGAGGAGTATAATTTCAAACAGTTGCTAAATGGCCAGTCATAAGTTGAGGACTATCTGTAAAAGTGCTTGTAGTATTCCTCCTATGTCTCATGACTGAGTCAAGATTGTTTTTTTCCTCAGCTCTGTTTTTCCTGGGAGGTAAGAAATGCTGTTCATCACTAGTAATCTAGTGTCCACAGTTTTTATTCTATAAAATTGTGATAAAGTTGCTAATCAAGGAAATAGTATAGAAATAGTATAGTCAAGGAAATAGTATAGAAAAAAAAGTAACACAACATAAAGAACAAGGCTATGGGACTCTTTCATTTCTAAAAAAAATGTTAAATTTCATTTGTGGCAGCTTGCATGTGGCATTTCTGGCATTTAAATGGATCACAAGTTGCAGAGTTTAGAAAGATTGCAACTAAAGCTCCAGAGAACCACTTTCAGTAGTTTAGCTAGATAACTCTGTCTAGATATGGACTGACCCAGAATAAAGCTTCTTTGAATGTAGAATAAATCTTAGGGCCTCTTTGATAGCTTAATTAGTGTGTGTTTCTTTCCTAAATTACATTGCATATAAGAACATTTGGTTTTTCTTGATTCAGATACCACTATTCTTTAATCTCTCAAATATAATCCAGTGCTATTCTAATTTTATAACTGGGCCTGTGTACTATGTTCATATTCATAGGTAGCTTTTTGTTTTTATGATTTTGATCTACCCTTATTTTTAATTTTAGTTGTGCTTTACAGTTTTATTTTTGAAGAGGAGAGCTGGCCATTTTGCCGGTCATTAGAGGGCAGCACATTCCCTGTTTAACATCTAAACAAATTGTATGGGATTATCTTCTGTTTAAAGTTCCTAAAATACAGTGCAGTGTTTGTAGTGGGGGGAAAAATATTAAAACAGATGCCAGCACAAATTCACAGTATGGAATGTTAACATAATAGTCTAAGATTAATTAGAATTGGATATACATTTTACAGAAGTAATTGGCTATCTGCTGTTATTCATTGTGTAAACTGAAGTTTGAATGCTGTGATGCGTTATAGCCTAAGATTTTTTCAGCTGTGTTGCTTTGGAGTCTTAAGAGTGCATGAGAATTTGACAGGTTCTATGAGAAAGTTTTAAGTTCACTCAGAAGCAGCCAAATTTGATCACTAGAGCTTTGCCTCATGGTCAAGAGTCCTGGGATTTTCCCAAAGTAACAGGTTCCATGGACTGAAAAAGTTTTAAACCCCTGGTATAGGCAGCTATTTTCAGTAATGAAGTTTTCTATTTTGCTACATCATCTTTGTAAACAAATATATAATTAAGTGATTCCCCCCCCCCCCACACTACTTAATAGTGGTAAATAAAAGTTAACAGATCTTTCCCAGGTCCCCAAATAATAAGCTGATCTTGGCAGTGGACATTGAATATGAAATTGTGAAGTCATGAAGTGTTATGGCTGGATACAAAGAAACTACCACTTAACAGGGAAGGAAACAAAAATCTAAGTATGAAGTTGTAAATTTTTGAATGATGACATTACGGTAGATTATTTTTAGGAAAAAAAAAGTAGAAATGGAGAGGCAGTTTGGAGAGATTTAAGGCACCAGGCTAGAAAACGGGAGGCCGTGAGTTCAAGTTCCACCTTAGCCGTGAAAGCCAATTGAGTGAATGTGGTCCAGTCACACTCTTTTCAACCCAACCCACTTTGCCAGGTTGTTATCATGGGAAAAATAGGAGGAGGAAGATGTAGTGGATTGTTTGTAAAATAATAAAGTTGGATTATAAACAAACAAATACATAAATGTTTTATAGTTTTGCTAGTATGAATTGCATTAGCCTGCATTCAGTGTCAGGTCAATTGAATTCCTTATGTTCTTTTTGCTACTTTTCTGCATTTTGTGGTAATGCACATAAGTTAGGATCTCTGGAATAGTTATAATATAAAACAATTCTGAAATAGGTCAGTTTTGATTTCAGATGTGTACCCTGAGTTCTGCAAAAGTATTCTTTGGGTAAGATAATAAAGTGTTTAACAAGTGGCTAATACTATATGATGAAAATGGTACTAAGCCATGATCTTAAACTGAAATGGGAGAAAATTGTAGGTTTGGACTCATATGTTGTACTAACTATAACTGGTTTGTTGATTCTGAGCTAGTGTGATAAAGAAGAGTAGTACTTTTTATTAGGCTTGCAAGCCACATTTAAACATGTGTTGTTTGCTGATTATAATGTGTGTATAGGGATGCATTATTTGTTTTACTTGACATTTATTTTGTGCCCTGTCTACAAGGATGAAATGCAAAAGCAGTTAACAGGTAAAGGAAACAAATGATAGTTCAAACAAATTAAGAGTACCTTAGTTAACTAACAAGACAGATCCTGGCTTGTTCAGCAAACCATGGTAAAATGAACTATGATTTAGAATGATATATAAGTGCATTAAATGCTATTTGGTGCTGTGATGATTCAGATTAGTGGAATAAATAATATTTGATTTTTCATTTTTGTAAATTTAAAATTTGATTTTTATTCAGACCATTCACTGTCTAGCCTCATAAAATTGCACAAGTTTGTTCATAGCTGGAAAACAGATTTTCTTACATTAATGGAGTTGGAACTAAGGATAAAATTTGGTATGAAGGGAAAAGAAGCCAAATTGGGCTGCCAGTTTCTGAGTACTGGAATGAGAGAATAAAGAATCAACTGCTGGGCTAGAGAATATTCTCTAGTGTTTTTAGTAT